CGGGACGCTGATGCTCGGCAGCTCTGGGCACACCAAAGCTCGCCAGCCTTTCCCTGTCTTCAGGCGCTCTCTGCTCCAGGCTTCACTGGTGCCATGACATGAAGCTGTTCTGCACGGTAAACAGCCCCTGAGTTAAATATATAATTGCAGGGCTGCTTTATTTAATTCATGACTGGGGTTACTCTTATTTATTAAGTCTTATTATCAAGTCCGTGAAATGTCCTGCAAGATTCCTGTGCCTCTTCATCCCACATTTTCTGAGTCACAAAAGCAGTACTAGTCATTGCAAATGAATAGGAACACAGCGTCCTCAGTGCATTAAAGAAAATATTAAAAAAGTTCCCAGATCATGGTTTTCAGGGACTGTCCAAACTCTTATTTATGACACCTGTTTTGAAATAAAAAAATCTCAGGGTTGATACATAGCTATCATTATTTCTGTTATCTATCAAACCTATATTTAAAACAGGAAAATGTAAATTATTAGCTTCTCCAGGGAACAGGAATCTTTCAAAAAGCTGCCTGATGCAACAGGCACATTTAATTAATTTTTCTTCATCCCATAGACTTGGAAATTTTATCTGTTGTATCTTCTCCCTTTTGACAAGGCTCAAACACTGAAACTTCCCATCTACTCCAGCTGCTTTCAACTCTGAGTGGCAAAGCAGAGACATTTTCTTTTTCAAGACAGAAGTTTCATTATTGCACCAGAAGACCTTGTTTGAGGTTTTGCTGTAGTCTGTGTGCTCCCTCCTTCCTGTGGCACAGTCCCCTGTGGACCCTGACCTGGGAGGACAGAGGATGCTCTTGGGGGCACAGCCACCTTCTCTGCGGGTTGCTTTGCGGATCTCCCGTGCATGTTCTGAAGCAGAAATAGCTCAGAAGTGGGAGCAACTTCGGAGCAGCATTTTTTCTCGAGCAGCTCTCATGACCTTTCTCTGCTGGCGTGGGAGGCCTGTGCTCAGCACCAGCAACAGAGGTTGGAGGACAGACAGAGACACGGAAAAGAAGCTGAAAAATGCACCTTTGGAGCGTAATGTGAACTTTTACATCAGGAAAATATTTAATGTAATGGCCTTATATTCTCAGTATTTCTCTTATGCCCTCTTATGAGGTCTTTACGTACCTCATAAATATTAAATATAAATATCTGCAGGGACCTGTAGGGACAATTTTATTCAGCTTTGCAAGCTCAGTACTCCAGTAATCAAAGTATTTTCTTTACATCTTCATGGGAGCAGACAGTGACAAGCCTTTTAATGGATATACCTACTAAGACAGTGGTAACACAGCTTGGAGAGAAAGACTCCATTACTATTATGATTTGGCTCATTGTTAAGCAATGAAGATGAATCATGTCTTTAGAAGCCAATTCTTTAAAATTAGCTTAAATTAAGGTGCAAGAATGAGTAGCCTTGACCCTGGACACTTTTACGTATTGTACAATGAAGCTGACTGCTGAATTATCTGATCTATCTTTGTCAGACAGAAAAAAGTCCCTGAAGGCAAGTACTGGGAAGATACCGTGAACTCATGAAGTCCAGTGACAGCTGACCAGGCTTCCCTGAGCAAAGGCAACGCAGTCTGTGCTTTTGACTGAAAGATCCCGTTGTCCCATGGCACTGGTTGTGAGAGACTTCACTGAATGAGAAAGGTGAAGAGCAAGTGAAACACCATCTAAAAATGAATTGTGGCAACGACCTGTGAAAATGCTCATAATATGGTGTTTTATTGTTCCCAAGTGGTGTGAAATCCCTAAAATTTTACAAATCCAGACCCAGATAGTCTCCTAACAAATCGGTTAGCTGCACTGCTGAATACGAGTTTTTATTAAAGAGCACACACATCAAATCCCAGGCAGGTTTACAAAGTCAGAGACAGGAATTGAGTCAGATTACATATGCTGACAACATGAATTGTGTGACTAGCATCTGGTGACAGTGTTGGAAAATTTTAACTGAGAAGTTCAGACCTTTTCTTATTTTACCTGTCAAACTCCAATCAAATGTATGTATATTATTTTTCTTAAAGTAAGTGCTTTGATTCTTTTGTATTTAGATTTGCTAGACTACTGATCAAACAAGGATCTTATTTTTTATAGTATGGCTCTGATTTCTTTGGCCCTCATCAGTACTTAGTCTACATTAGATCTATTCAGAAAATGGATCTTCATCTCAATTGAAATTTGAGCAGTTTGACATTTCTTTTTGAAACAAAAATGCACAAAAAAAGAAAATGATAAATAATCTAATTAAAATTAAAAGTTCCAAACATTTTTAACTCAAGTAGTGTCAAAGTGAGAGAGCCAAACATCTTCTATAGAAACAAAGGTTGACTCTGTGTGATTCAAATGGATATGTTTGAAAAAGTATATTTTTCCTTTGGTTTCTCTATTTGACTTAGAGGACTCAACACAAACATTAAGTTATGATGCATGATGAACACTGAAGTCTGCTAGAAGCAGCTCAGAATGTTTGTAAGTGGATAATAATCACAGCAAAACAGCATGTGATGGCTTAAGTGTTTGAACCTTTGACACAATAAATCAGTTCTGCAAAGAACCCCGTAGTATGAGACTAGCACATCTTTAGCACACAGGGCATTTCACAATGATCGGGTTTATGCATGTGCATCAAGTGGTGTTCTGCCAAGTCGTCCTTCTAATGCATGGCAAAGCAGTGAAAGGGAACTCTGCCAAATGAGCATGTCATAAATATGCAGCGCAGGAGCTCAAGGGTGAAGCTCTGCATGTTTCTGCAGCCTCTGTATCTCCACTGTGGAGATGCTGGTGGGTGCTTTCCCCCCCAAACCACTCAGCGTGGGGTCCCAGCCACGGCGGGGATGTGCAAGTGCAGGCACCCACCACGGCACCTGTCAGACAGGGCATCTGGGCGTATATATATACATATATACACATGGGGCATTCTCCACCAAGCCATCAACAGCAGTTTTGGACAGCCTGCACCTCCAGAAGATGTGTACAGGAAAATGGTTGACTCGTGGTTTAAACCCAGTCGGCAGCCAAACCCCATGCAGCTGCTCCCCCACCCTCCCCAGCCTGGGAATGGGGGCGGGAACAGGAGGGGTGAAAGGAGACTCATAGACTGAGATAAAAACAATTTAATAATGGTAATAAAATAAAACAGTAACAATAATAGAAAGTATGAAAGGGTAGTGCACAATGAGATTGCTCACCACCCGCTGACCAATACCTAGCCTGTTCCTGGCTAGTGATCCTGAAATACCAAGATCTCAATCCTGGAAGCGAGAGAGGACCCCCTCCTTCCCGACCACCGGTTCCTCTATACACTGAGCATGGCGTTAAATGATATGGAATATTTCATTGGCCAATTTGGGTCCGGTGCTCTGACCATGCTCTCCCCCCATTTTTTGTGTACCTATGCATGGGCAGGACATGGGGAGTTGGAGACCCCTTGAAATCTCAGCAACAATTGAAAAGATCAGTGTGTTATCAGCATTCTTCTCATACCAAATCCCATACTGAATCCAAAACACAGCACTATTCTAGCTACTAAGAAGAAACATTAACTCTAATCCAGCCCAGACCAGGACATTGACATTTCTCCTTTGGTAGCAAGAGCCCCGTTTCTGATCTCATGTGTGCCATGACCCTCCACCTTTATGGCTGTCAGTGACATATTCATTATTTGCTGTCCTCCAAACAAAGTCCTGACTGAGTTGATTGGTATCCTTACACAACAGAAATGATGAAGATGAAACGGCCCGCTTGACGGTTCAAGCCCTGACCCAGTCACATGCCTGGCTCAGCCCCTGGCTGGGGTGCAGGTATAGGCCAGCTGTGGGCCAGGAGAAAAAAGGGTGCTGAAGGATGCTGAGGAAGGGCGGAGAAGCCTGGTGACATCTCTGAAGACAGATAGGACAAAAACTCTTATGGCAAAAGACGTTCTGTGTTGCCAAAGGAATGCTGGGATGCCGAGTCTGTCAAACACGAGAAGCTGACTTTCGTCTCCAATCCCATATGCAAACCCACCTGCTCCCCACACAGCCCCTTCTGCCCACCCAGCAGCCTGGTGCTGCCAGACACCCCCGTCCCTGGGGCCCCACTGCAGAAAGGCTGCACCGAAAGGCTCTTCGCATCCAATTTTCTGAGCTCGGAGCCTGAGGCTGCTCTGCAAATGGCTGTGTCTGCAAAGGAAGGAAAGGAGAAGAGAAGGGATTTCCATGTTGCTCCTCTTTGCTGCTGCTCCCCCTCTACCCTGGCTCAGTGCACTGAGGCCCAGGCTGCAGCAGGAGTCTCCCTGGACACCCAGCAGCACCCTGAAAATTCTGTTCTCATTTTTAGGTTGCATTTCACTTTTTTACACTGTCCTCTGCACCATGGGAGAGCAAGAAGAGGACAATGCCAGGGACAAAGCTGGGAGCTCTCTGGAGGCAGAAATCCCTGGATGTTCTTTGTCTGAGGAACGGAGAGAAAGAAAGATGCTGCAAGTTAGTAAAGGTGCTTCACCCCGTGTAGCTGTTGCGCTGAGTACCCAGAAAGGAGCAGGAGGAGAGAGGAGACAGGGAAGATAAGGGCACATGCACTGCCTCTGTCTTTTGCTGCTCTGCTAGATCTGCACGTCAGACTCTCCCATCGTCTATGTGTGGGGTTGCAATACACCTCAGGATAAACTAGGAAGAGATACGCTATTGGCTATTTCATACGCGGTGTGTCATCTGGCAGGCTGTATATATCAGAGGGAAAGCAGGGACCGCTCAGCCTCTGAGCAAAGCTGCTTCAGTGTATAGCTCAGAGATACTTTGAGGATGGAAAGAAAAGGGAAAGGCAGCCCTTGCTTTTTTTGATTCTGACAAGCTCTGAAAACTCTTGGAAACAGAGATCTGACAGATGAAGGACTATGTGGAAAAACGATAAAGCAGATTTGCAAGGAGAAGTTGCAGGAGAGAAGCAGAACAGTGCACAAAAGGCAGTACTCACTGGGATTTCTTCCTAGGTGCAGAGAGAAAGTGTTTGGGGATCTCTGATATTTCAGCATCCGAATCAGCTTCTGTATGCAGGACATATGGGACTGAGAAAGGACAGCAGCTGGAGAGTCCCTGGAGCAAAGCTCACATGTAATCAGCACAGGAAGAAGTACTCATTTATCAACTCTTTTATGTAGTTTGCAACCACAGGACAGCTATTTAAAATGCAAGTGTGTGTGTTCCCTCCTGCAACCACTGAGTTTAGCACTTGAGCTGCCAGGAGGGAGGGCAGAGAAGAACGTGCAGGGGACACAGGCAGCGCTGGAGCTTTGTTTCCCAAGCCATGAGCAGGCACACGTGGTTCCCTTTGCAGTACATCTCCAAGCCATTCTGGAGAGCAGAAAATCACAACACCACCAACTTCTTCTCTGCACTGTATGGCTTCCCTAACCAATCCTTCTTCCACAGTGGTTTGGACCTGGAGGACCTGGGGGACTTTGACAGCAGGACCAAGTATGAGGGTGAGTCCCAGAGCCGGACGGTGAAGGCACTGCTGATAGTAGCCTACTCCGTGATCATCTGCATCTCACTCTTTGGCAACACCTTGGTGTGCCACGTGGTGATCAAGAACAAAAGGATGCACTCTGCCACCAGCCTCTTCATCGTCAACCTGGCCGTTGCTGACGTGATGATCACCATTTTGAACACCCCCTTCACGCTGGTGAGCATCCGACTAGTCTGTGTTTTGCTGGTGTCTGTGTGTGCCTGTCAGCTGTGTACACGTGTATTGAATGGGCCAATAACAGGTTAATACGCAGAGTTTCTTTTTGCCTTCCCCCCCAACTCCTTTTGCCTCCCAGACGAGCTGCAGTCATGCCCCCCTCTCCCTGACACCCCCTTGCATGCAGGCAGGGCTTGGTGAGCAGAGCCAGGTCACTCGTGCCCCAACCTCACAATCTGGTCGGGAAGTGTCGCTCCTCAGCAGCTTTCCTTCCCCCTCCAGGACAGTGGCAAGGCATGTATGTTGAAGCTCTAGTTGCCTTTTGGTGAGGAAGGAAGTGAGGACAAGTTTGACACTAGAAAGTCCAATTAACTCCCAATTTTCTACAGAAATGATGCAAACTAGGTCAGTCCTTATGAAGAAGATTGCAGGAGAAACTGCAAGGTCAGGGCTGAGCCATGTCATCTTGGCATACCTCTTCCTTGGGCTCTACAAACTGTGCTTCTCACGACTGATTTTCCTTTGTTTATTTTCAGTTACTAAATACGATAAGACATAAAAAAAAAAAAAAAAAAAGAATGAGGTGGGAAGAATTAAACAGATTAATTTCTTGCCCCACTGTCACAATCTACAGACAACATGTAAGTAGGACTCTCTGTATAGCTAAATTTGACACAGCACTCTGGTTCGAAAGCATCTCAAGTACTCCTGCTTCAGTCCTTGCCCAGAGCTGTTCATAGTGTTCTTCTGCCTTCCAAAAGCAGGTTCCAAATTATCAGTTTGAATTCACCTTTTCTTAAATTGATCCTGTTTCTTTGGTGGCATTTCTCTGCCTTGCCCTGATGGCAGAGAATAGATTGAGAGCAGCCCTGCAGAGAAGGACTCGGGGGGTATTAGTAGATGGAAAACTGACTATGAGCCAGCAACATGTGCTTGCAGCCCAGAAAGCCAACTGTGTCCTTGGCTGCAGCAAGAGAAGTGTGGCCAGCAGGTTGAGGGAGGGGATTCTCCCCCTCTACCCCACTCTTGTGAGACCCCCGCCCTGCAGTGCTGTGTCCAGCTCTGGGGCCCCCAACATCAGAAGGACACGGAGCTGCCTGAGCAGGTCCAGAGGAGGCCACGAGGATGATCAGGGGGCTGGAGCAGCTCCTCAGTGAGTACAGGATGAGAGAGTTGGGGGTGTTCAGCCTGAAGAAGAGAAGGCTCTGGGGAGACTTTTATAGCAGCTTTCCAGTGCTTAAAGGGAGCTAAAGGAAAGGTGGGGAGAGACTCTTTATCAGGGAGTGTGGGGCTAGAGATAACACTTTTAAACTGAAAGAGGGTACATTTAGGTTAGATATTAGGAAAAAATTCTTCTCTGTAAGGGTGGTGAGGCGCTGGCCCAGGGTGCCCAGAGCAGCTGTGGCTGCCCCCTCCCTGGAAGGGTTCAAGGCCAGGTTGGACGGGGCTGGGAGCCCCCTGGGCTGGGGGAAGGGGGCCCTGCCCGTGGCAGAGGGTTGGAACTGGATGATCTTTAAGATCCCTTCCAACACAAACCATTCTGTGAATTTATGATTTGCACCCTGTAATCTGTTCAGGGGAAGGATAGTGCCCTCTTGTGTGTTTGCACAACAGTCACACATTAGGCACAAGTAATTAAATAACAGTACTCTCTCTTAGGAAAGAGTTTTACATCCAATTCAGAGAAACAGCACATTTCTACACATTCAGTGACAGAGTCATTACTACTTGAGTTGTCTCTATGGAGAAATTAATTAGATTAATTGAAAACAGGTCTTGACTAATTTTCTGCGTGGACAGATGTTTTGTGGTAAATGTGCTTTATTTCAAATTAGCTAAATCTGCTTTCAGAATGAGTTACATTAATTTGGAATAAATATTGCGCAGTCAGGAATAACGAGGGAGCGAGACAGCAACCATTATTTGGAATGAACTCCTCTGCAGAAAAGTCACAATAAGTAGCACCTCTCTGGAACTCCTAAGAGCCATGCTACCTTGGCCACTGCAGGCTCAGGGAGTCTTTAAGCTCCCACTGCCTCCCTCTCCTCCCACAAGTGGCTGGATTTCGTGTCCAGCAGGAGATGGCTCCTGTACCTGCAGAGGCCAGATCAATGAGGAAAGCAACCCAGATTGTGAAGTGTGAGTTGCTTTTTCAATGGGAAGGTAGATTTTTCCTGCCCGTTTGTGTAACTTAATTGACACCTCTGAAATTGCTGTTGATGCATCTCACACGATGTGGTGAGTTGGGCTTAGAGATCAGTGTGTGAGCAAGACCCTGCCACCCAGCTCCATGTCCTTTTTCTGAATGTGGCTGGTAGCTGCAGACCCCAGGAAGAGTATAGACACAGGGCAGGTAGGCAGAGATGCTCCACAAACAGGCAGTGCCTAACTCAGAGGTGTTATCTTCTATTTCAGTGCCCGCAGTGATTTTTTCTGCCATTAATTTATCTCAGTTTTGAACCCATACAGCTTTCAGCATCCACAAATTCAAATGTGCAACTGTTTTTAAGAAGACAAGCTACTGATTTTCCCTGAAGAGCTTCATCAAGGAGTTGAGGAAGATTACATTTTCCAGAAGGGCCATGTTACAGGTACACACGTGTACATGCACATGCAAATACACATACACAGTGCAATACTCAAGCAACTTTATTTGCGCAGTATAGTAAATCTCTCTTCTGTTTCTGAGCCTCTTGCATAGTCACTGTTTCTCCAGAAAAACTGAGTATAATGAAACTACAAAACATGAGGAAACTATATGACAGCATTTCTTCCTTTCCGTACTCCTTGGAAGCCTGTTTGCTACTCTCCAGATAGTGCACAGTTTTAATCCCATTTTGTTTGTTCTTCAGGTGCGGTTTGTAAGCAGTACCTGGGTTTTTGGAAAGCTGATGTGTCACATAAGCCGGTTTGTTCAGTACTGCTCTGTTCATGTGTCTGTGCTGACCCTTGCTGCCATCGCTTTGGATCGGCATCAGGTATGTGATATGCATCACCGCTATGTTTGCTAGAAAATAAGGCATTAAATACATATTTTTTTCCCCCTGCAAATCCCAGTACCTGGAAACCTGCATTGTCTTTGGAATCAAAGAATGGAAGGGAGAACTATAGCTTTCATGGTGGTGGACAGAAAAAAACACAGTGATGGTGATGAAACACTGGAACAGGCTGCCCAGAGGGGTGGTGGAGTCTCTGTCCTTGGAGATATTCAGCTGGATCCAACTGGAAACACTCCTGGGCAGCCGGCTCTAGGTGACCCTGATTTGCACAGGGCGCTGGACTAGCTGCTCTCCAGGGCTCCCTGCCCACCTCAGCTACTCTGTGGAGTAGAGCCCCGAAAGCACAGCGGGAATATATTCTGAAGTTCAAACACCATCAAGCCAATGCATTATTTCAACATGTATTTATGCAGAATTTTACCGTTTTTAGTCTTGCCCGATTATTCTGGGATGCTTAAGACTAGAAGCAGTGAGAACTATGTTAGCACATTCATTTCAAGGTGAGAAATTTTCCTCTTCTTCCCCTGCCCCAATCCTTTTTGACACATACCAACCAGGAAAACCTTACAGGTCAAGCAGTGAGTGCAAACTGAAGGCTTTCCTTTAAGTATAATACAGCGTGTAATTTTTGCTTAAGCCGATAAATGCTGTGCACCAGGAGAGCAGATCCTGCAAGGTGCGCTCTTGGGCAGACTATATTTTTCTTGCAGTGCTGGAGACACTGAAACAGTTGTTACAGAAAAGCAATTTCACATGATAAATGACATAGCTAGATGAAGTTCAGAACAAAAATGGATTCCACTTTGATGAACTGGGATGTGCTCCATCTAGTGTCAGAAAATTACGGTGACTGCCAGAGTAAAAGGTCATCAATTTCTGTCTTTTTTTTACCACAAAAGTTTGGTAGTCTGCCCATTTTATGTGCAACATTGCAGCTCCCGAAAGCAAAACATTTTGATAATGATTCATTTTTATCAACAGATTCTGGGTTGATTGCAAGGCATGTCTAGGTATCGAGAAGTGTTTGTTTAATTAAGGGCAAACACAATATCTGTCTTTAGGTGCAATGGAGTAGGTTCCTCAGAACTAGAATTAGCTAGTATGGCCCAAGGAAATAAAAATAGAAATAAGGAGATGTCATTGAGCAAAGAGAAATCAACACTTGCCTCTAAAAATATTGCTAGTCCTGAGAGGTACCAGAGCAGACAGATGCTCCAGGGGAGTTGTAGAAGCTTGATTAAGTAGATATTTATAATGAGACTAGAAAAGACATGCATAAAATACCAAAGACTTCATCAGCCAAGAGATCATTTGGATGACATGATAGGTCTATTTTTAATTACTGTTTCATTGCCTAATGTAACACTCCATAGTGCACGTAGCTCAACAGATATCTAACCATCATGATCTCCGAAGTCAATCTGATGCGTGACACTGAGCATATTTCTCTGCTCGGGGCACTGGGCCAGCAGTAACACTTAACACTTGCACAACTCTCTGGATTTTCCAGCTCATACTCTCTGAAGTCCTGTAAAATGAGCCTCTCCCTTCTGCCTTGGATGTAGAGCTGCTGCAGCTCTTCAAACTGCAACGTGAGGCTCAAAGAGTGACCAGGACTTTGTCAGATAAAGTAGCCCTCCTCAGCAGCAAACACACATAGAGTACACCGTGCTATAGCCAGTACTGCACGGGATAAACTGTGAATATAAAAGAGACCAGCCTTCACATTCGTTAGTGCTATGTTGGCCAAGGATTACATTCAACCACGGTTCTCAAGCATCTCATCACTCTGTCTTGTGAGTCCACCAAATGCCAAATGTTTTGAGCCCTGTGGCTGCCGTCTGTATTGGAGACTTTGTCTGTAGTAATTAGGAGACTTTTTGCACTCCCTATAGTACAAGCCAGAACAGCCTCTTGGCTTTCAACTTGTGCCACATTTAATGTCCATGCTGAGCATTTATTGCTGTCCTGGCAAGCACAGAGACTGTTTGCTTCCTACTCAGTGATCAGTGTGAAATGCTTGCTCCTGGACATGGATAAAGCAAAGATGCATTCTTTTTTTTCTAAAGCTTGCAGCTTGTTTTTATCATTTGAAGACATTGTAAATCCTCAGGATTGGTTGTTCTCTGCAGGTTATCATGCATCCTCTCAAGCCACGCATGTCCATGGTGAAAGGAGGGATTTGCATCATTATCATCTGGGTTATGGCCAGCTGCTTCTCACTACCTCATGCCATTTATCAGACTTTGACAAGATTTTATATCGGGTAAGGCATTTACATAGTGTTATCTTTTATTATGACATATGCAGCTTAATCAAAGCCTCACAGATCGTAAGACACACATCTCTCCATCTGTGTTATCAAAAAGGAAAGTAAGGTGAAACAGAGGAGTCTTCCTTCTCTTTGACTAGGTGGTGTATTTCTCACAAAAGGACAGTGAAAATCAGTGCAATTGCTTTCAGGCTTGTTTGTTAGTTCATTTTGGCTCGGAGATTCAGCCCTGTAATTTGAAGGCAGGCACAGAAGAGAGGTGCTCTATGTCTTTAGAGGGCACAGATGTCAATATGGCTTATTTTTTTCTTTTCCTGGGGATGTGTTTAAAATATCTTCATTGGGTCCTAAGGTCAAACTTAAAGCAAAATTCTCCATTGAAAGTGACACTTGCCCATGTTGCAGAATGAGTTCTGCTATCTGTACCTTTACTGAAGCTTGTAAAAATGTCTGTGTAAGAATGTCAACTCCAAGTGTTGTGTGGAATTGACAGTTCTTTCTCTCTTTGATCTTCAGAAACAGAACAATACGGATGGTCTGCCTCCCCAGCTTTCCTCCTCCCGCTGATCTTTTCTGGAAGTATTTAGACTTGACTACTTTTGTTCTCTTGTATGTCCTGCCCTTGCTTGTGATCTCCATCACATATACCATAGTGGCGAAGAAGCTCTGGCTGAGAAATGCCATTGGGGACCTCACTATGGAGCAATACTATGCCCATCAACGGAAAAAGAAGATGACATTGAAGATGCTGATGGTGGTGGTGATTGTGTTTGCAGTATGCTGGTTCCCCCTGAACTGCTACGTGGTGTTGATCTCCTGTAGGGCCATCCACAGTAGCAATGCTCTGTACTTTGCTTTTCACTGGTTTGCCATGAGCAGCACTTGCTATAACCCCTTCATTTACTGTTGGCTGAATGAGAGCTTCAGATCTGAGCTGAAGTCCTTGATGTGTGTGTGCAGGCGAAGGAGTGCAGCCCAGAGTCATGCTCTGCAGTCCATCTCCCCTCCTTTCAGGCATGCCTGGGTTGAGAGCTGCCATTATAAAAGAGGCAGCACCTGCCAGAAGGCAAGGTCATCCTCCCAGAGGAACTCTGCAAAGACAGACATATCCAGTGTTCAGCCAATCGTGGCAGAAAGCTAAACCCTTCATCTGATGACCAGGCAGCATCGTGTTGTAATTGTGGAATCACAGGAAAAATTGAATTGGAAAGGAGTGCTGGAAACCACGTAGTCCAACCTTCCACACAAAGCAAGCTAACTTCAACTTCTGATTGGGTTGTTCAGGACCTTGTCCAGTCAGGTTTTCAAAAATGTCCAGGGATGAACTGCCCACACGTGGGCTCCAGAATAAGGGGCGTCACATGAATTTTTCATCAGAACGGTCAGCAAAAATTAAGAGAATTTTTTAACAGCACACAAAATCTCTCAAAGCCTGAGAAAACTAGTTATACACATGCCAACTGATGCACACTGTTTTAAAGTACATGGCTGTTTATGCATATAGAAACACTGTATTGATTCCTTCTTATTTATTTGTAAATTGTTTAAGATAAATAACATTTATAGCCATTCTCAAATTTATACCTGCAACATCTCAGCCACTTACTCTGCTGTCACTGGAACACCGTAGCTTTGCTCATCCACCTCAGTGTGACCCAGGTGTGCTCCTCGCACCATGGCAGACAGCCCCGTGCCTGCCGGTGGAGGGGGAAACATCTCAAAAATCACAATGAGAACATGGCTTAGAAGTAGGACAGCAAAAACTCACTCCATTTTTACAGGTGTTTTTCCTCATCAGCTTGTTTTGTTCTGTCAAGATTACTAGTAGTCACCATAAATCACTGCTTATACTGCAACCTGTGTTCAAGGAAGAAATTACACAAGTGAGCTTATTCTCAAGCTCTAGCTAGCTGAGAAACCAACACTTTCTTAAAACATATTCCCTCTGCCATTTTTCTAAGGACTAAACTAATGCCCGCTCACCAAACACCACCATCCACACAGTAAATAGAAATGGTTCCAGAAGAATTTTTCATTTTTGTACTTTCTACCATGTTTCTTTTTTGTTGCATTTCTATTATCTACATAGGAGATACTAAACTGGAAGTCTAATGTTGACCGTCAGAATAATTTTTTGGAGCTTGTACCAGTGGAAACACCAGTTTGAGACTAATGGTGTGAAAGTCATGTCTACTGGTCCCATGAAGTTAAGCTGGTTGGCTTCAGGGCAGCTCCCTAGGCTGGATGACAGTGGCCCTGAGGGACTGATGGACTTCAGAGACCAGCCTCCACCTGTCCCCTTCCGAACCAGGGCAGCCACGTGGCAGGCCAGGGCCGAGGACTGGGCTGTGACCAGTTTCTCTAGCACTGGGTACACGGGCTCACTGTAGGCAAGCAAACTTGGGGTCTCGCTGTGTGTGTGAGGGAGGGTGGACAGCAGACTCACATAAGTGAGGCGCGGAATCACGACTTTACAACCAGTAAGGTTATAAAGTAGGTATGTTTATTCAGCGCTGGGGGCCGGGGGGAATCATTTCCTCCAAATGCACGTGCGCCTTGGAGCCAAAAGCGGCTCCTTTTTATTACGTAGAATGTTTCATATCTATCACAATTCCTGGAATAGGGAGGGAATATTACAATTAGTTCCGAGAAATCCTTAACATATCCCCCACCCCAAGCCCCCTGCGCAGACCCTCCCCTAGCAACTCCCATGTTATCAGATAAATGGCATGTCTTAACAAAACACAGGGCATGTCCCAACAAGCACAGAGCATATCCCAACAAACAAAGGGCATGTCCCAACAAACAAAGGGCAGGGCATGTCTCAACCTCCAGGTGCAATGTTTCCTGAGGGTGGGGTGGGGACACCATCTGGTTAATGTTTCCTTAGATCATAAGGGTTGGAAGGTCCACACAAATATGCTACACATATATGGCTCTTTAGTTATTCCATGAAAAACTTCTTGGTTAAGATATGGAAGCACTCAGGGGTGGTGAAGTCTGAATTGCCTTGCCAGGATGTATATGGAGACAAAGAGGAGTGTTGGCCAGTAGGAACCTATTCTGCCAATATATGTAGGGCCTCACTGTAGTCTCTAGGCTTGCCTTCAAGAACGTCTCACATCATTATATTTTCTAACAAAACTGCATATTGCCACGTTTCAACATTGTTAATCAACATTTATTTAAAGTCTAAATTATTTTCAGTTTCAATAATAATTTATTTTTCACCAGTCCTTAAGAACTGTGTCCTTCATGGCTTTGTTGTCAAACTGTCAGTCCTTCCTTGGCGTGTCAGCCCGTCTGTCTGTCTTGGATTCAACCTGCTGGGCAGCATCAGTAACTGCTGGGCAGCTGCTGAATGGGGCACCCTGCTTCGCCTGAGGTGGAACCTACATTGTAACTATAAGTGCTGGGAACGGATCTGCAGTTTTTAAACCCAAAAGGAAGGAGACTGGGAAAGTTGGCACTAGATTAAAGAGTTCGTTTGTAAACCTTTATACACGCCCCGCCCCAGCTCAATAAAACTGAGCATCTGATAATGTGCCACAGCAGTTGCCTCGAATACTGATACTTGCATTCCTGCTGCTCTCGGTGGTGACCCAGGGCTTTCAGCAGTGTTTATCCTGTTTTGAGCAGCAGCTCCCTGGATGTAAGGGAATAGCTGAGATTCCTCGGCACGTGGGCAAGCGGGCCTGCGGTGCTGGGACAGCCGGCACAGGCAGCTGCTGGGCTGAGGGTCATGGTGGGAGCCAGCGCCGGCATTTCTGAGCTGGATTTGGATCAGTAGTGAGAAATATCAAGTGGGAACATGTGGCCAACGTCAAACCAATGGCTGTGAAAATTCACCAATGCTGCATTTTTCTCTTCCTTGGAAAGAATAACCAGTTTCTTTATTTGTGTCTATTCAGTGTTGGCTCAGCCTTTGTGATTGCAAAGGATTTTAGCCTCAAAGGACAGTGGAAGGAAACTGAGTTTCATCCTTCCTATGGAAAATAATACTAACTGCACTTCTACAGCCTGGCATTTCCACTGAAGACTGGCAGTTTGCTACGCTTGCAAACCTGAGTGAAAGTCGATCTAAATTTGGAAATCAAGGTGCTTTGATAGGTGCAAAAATGTAGACATGTGATCTGAGAATGTATTTGCAAGTAAAAAAGAAACTGTGAAGCTGAGGAAAGAGTAAGAATGAGGTGAATCTTTCTTCTTTCTAAGATAATCGTGGAAAGGAGAAGGGTAGAAGCACACCAGACAAGGAACGGAGACCTCACATGTCTTGAGATACTGCAAAACATGCCAGCATTTCCAATGCCAGTGCTTCAAGTAAATGCTCCCCTTTTACAGTGATCACTTGTTCCTACCGCACATCTGCAGGAATTACTCTGCAGAAGGATGCACTTAGGGGTAGAAACTGAATTAGAAAATCTCTTTGGAGAATATGCGCCCAAGACTCAGATATCTTATCTGATTCATCTACAAGAAATGTGTTTAACAGACTTTCTCCTGTGGGCTTTACCATGTGAGCCTTTATTTTGTTTACGTCAATAAAGAAGCATAAGTGGAAATGTGAATGGAGCTGGCACAGTGGAGTCAGGCATCTGAGTCTTTCATTTTATGTTACAAGTGAATAACAGTGTAAAGCTGATATTACTACTAAGTCGGGATTTTTACTGTCTGGAAAACTTGGAATTCATAGTACTGCAAATGGCATTTCCATAATATAACTGTCTGGAGAATTTCTATAAGATATCTCTTATTAAAAAAAAAAAAAACAATAACAAACCAGAAACCCAAATACAACATTGTAAAGGTGAGTAATTTAATCAAACATCTTCCCATTCAAATGTTCCTCTTTTTACATTGGAAAAATTCAGTAAAATTAAATAATGCAGTTTGCATATATACCCCAACACACTTCTGGAGAACTGCTAGAACTCATTACTCTGGAACAAAGAAAACAAAGAGTCTGTTCTTGCTAATCATCTTTTTAGCAGGGCAGCAAGCTGGGTTCAGCTTCCTTCAGCCTTTGCATGGAGGGATGCACAGTGCACACCAAGGTCAAATCCACAGCCTGCCTGTGTGACAGCAGTGGCCGTGCAGAGATGTCCCTCACCTGGCAAGGTTTCTCTAAGGGACAGTTTGCTCCCAGATGGAAAACTGATGTTTGTTTCCTAACTGCACATCCTATGCTAATCCTTACACAAGCAGCGCTTTCTTCAGTAAGAATCTGCAGTCTGGCAATGTTGGGCTGCCTTAAAAAAGTATTATTTCCTTGAGAAGATTGTCAAAAGCTTACATTTTTGTAAAATTCCGGCCAACTTTGCCATCATTATATGCAATCTTCCACTGGATGCTCTTGTTTTAATACAAGCTCTGTTAAAATTTCCGTATGGTTGTAATACAACAAGATTTGATTCACCAACATTTGGGGGGGGCTGATAACAGCCAAATAAAATATATGGTTTAGGACCCCCTCTCTCCTGTGGATTTTGTATAACTTTTAAGTTTTGAAAGGGAAATATTCTCTCTTACAAGAGGGTTAACAAGAAAGAATAGACTGCTGCTCCTGACAGTCTCAAAATCACATCCAAAACTTATGTCTGCATGTGTTTTGACATCTTTCAGCATGAAAAGCCCTTTGTAAAAAGCAGAGCTATGATTACCCAGATGAGGAGTGAGCCATGGACGTGTGCCGACTATAAATGCCATTTAATTCCCATGCATTTCCATGCAGTAAGTAGTTTTTCTCAGCAGCACTTCTTTTTGCCTGGGTGCCTCAGTCCAGACAGGAGCAGAGTCACATCTAACTTGAATTTAATTCTTACTCTCCAGTCAACACTTCCATGAGCAGAAGCACGGCCCGACCTGCTAGGATCCTCAGCCATCTCATGGGCCACCTTCCCCTCACTGGGGACCTTGCTCTCTCCCTCTCTGGCCACCAAGCAAACAGGGTAGGAAATGTGCACTGCTGAGGCTGCTACATCTCTGTCACACTTTGAAATTGGTTAGTGAAGTCATATTTGTTTGAAAGGAACTGTTTGGTAACAACACATGCAGTGTGATCATGCAACATCTGGTCTCTTTGAACAAGGCTGGAAGTATGATAGCAAAGTCTCAGACAGGTAGTCTGGTTACTGAAGTTGCTACATTTCCACGCCTACTGAAAGAAAGCAATATGCCAAATGCAGAGAGCCTACATCTACTTTAAAATAACCTTTTAGTGTTCAAAGTGTTAAAATTAGATGCCTATACCAAAAGACAATAATAATTTATTGTCATCTCTGAAGCGTCATTTCTTCTAGCCTTTCGAAGAAACTTTACAAGCAGAATAATGAACTAGCAGCTGTGAATCATTTAACCAGTTCTGATCAGCTCCATGCAGCTCCAGGAGGGTCACAAGACTCCCTTCTTGAGAGGGGTCTGATATATGTAAATATTTTAAGCCACTGAATACAGGGATGTGAATATATCCCCCAAGCGATGAGGCTAAGTACCGCAGGAGCTGGGCACGCGAGTGCTCGGAGCAGCGGGTGCCGGTGCCCTGCAGCCCGGGCTGCCCGCTCCTTGGGCCAGGGCTGGGGGGAGAGCGAGGGGCTGGCTCCCCAACGCCGCCCCGCTGCTCCACTCACCCTGAGCTGGTGCAGCAGGGAAAGAAGCAAATGTCTTTTATGCTGACGGTAACGGCTGCCATCCTGGATACTGACCTGCATGCCTGGGTTGTGGCTCAATATTTTATGGCATCTGACAGAGGTTTAATAGCGTGAGATGGTGTGAAATATGCTATGAAACCAGAGAAAGACCTCTGTAAAAGCAGTTCCATGAAAATGATTTTTTTGTTTTTCTCTCTCACTTGGAAATGAAAGATATGCTCTTAGGAGCATAGCTCAGTGAAGAATGATATTGTCATGCGGCACGACAGAAACACTCATCATTCTGTGTAACATAGGTAAAGCAAGTTTGACACTCAATAACTTCTTTTAATATGGAACCATTTTTTTTATGTGAAAGTAGTCTGTTCCATACTACATAATGCTACAAGAACAATCTTTATTTCCTTC